ATGCAGTTGTGTCCCTCATGAACGCACAGGGACATCGCTTCCTTTCCAACTCTCGGCTAGCACAATACCAAGGACTCCTCTGCGAAAACCCGCGGGTCAGGGCGCCTGGGTGGCTCAGTTGGTTAAGCGACTGCCTTCGGCTCAGGTCATGATCCTGGAGTCCTGGGATTGAGTCCCACATCGGGCTCCCTGCTCAGCAGGGAATCTGCTTCTCCCTCTGACCCTCCCGCCTCTCATGCTCTCTCTATCTCATTCTCTCTCTCAAATAAATAAATAAAATCTTAAAAAAAAAAAAAAACCCGCGGGTCACCCTTGAAACAGTAAGGACATTAAATCCAGCAACCTTTCTCCCCACGGAAGAGGGGGAACCAGACCATGACTGCTCTGAGGTGACTGATGAAGTCTACGCGAGCCATCCAGATCTGCAGGATCAAGCCATAAAGAATCCAGAGCTCACATTGTTCAGCGATGGCAGCAGTTACCTACAGGAGGGTGCCCGGAAAGTGGGTTATACAGTAACCACAACCACTGAAGTCCTAGAAGCTAAGGCATTACCAGCTGGATGGTCAGCTCAACAGGCTGAATTATATGCCTTAGTCCGAGCCCTCACCCTCGGTGAAGGCAAACGAGTCAACATCTATCCTGACTCTTGGTATGCCTTTGCTACTGTACATACACATGGAGCCATCTACAAGGAAAGGGGCCTCCTAACCATAGCCGGAAAAGCTATCAAGAACAAGGAGGAGATACTGAGATTCCTCGAAGCCATCTGGCTTCCAATGGAAGTAGCAATCCTGCACTGTAAGGGACACCAGAAAGGAAGAAGAAGCACGGGGAAATCATCTGGCAGGTGAGGCAGCCAAGACCACAGCCAGTGAGGACATGGACACAGCCCCTTCCCTCACCATGGCCCTGACACCCCTGGAAGAAGTCCCTCCGCCCAGTTACACTAAAATGGAAAAGGAATGGGCCATGGCTGAGGGAGCCACCCTCACTGAAAAGGGATGGTGGATGATGCCAGACAGAGGCATCTTTGTTCCAACAGCAACTGGAGGGCATCTAGTCAAGGAACACCACTGACTCACTCATCTGGGGACAACTGCATTAGAGGCCCTTCTCAAGAAGCACTACTACATCAGTCAGCTGCCAGCACTATGCCGAGCAACGAGTGAACAATGCATAACGTGCTAAAAATAATGCTTGGTTTGCACCATGGCCCCCGCCAGGTGTCCAGAGGATGGGAGCAACCCCGTTCAAAGATCTAGAGGTAGACTTCACAGATGTGCAGCCGAGCAGGGGGTTCAGATATCTCTTAGTAATAGTATGCACATATTCTGGGTGGGTCGAAGCCTTCCTGACCAGGATGGAACAAAGCCAGGAAGTAGCTAAAGTCCTCTTGCAGGAGATCGTGCCCCGGTTCGGCCTGCCACTAACAATCCATAGTGACAATGGACCGCATTTGTAGCAGACCTTGTACAGGTCTTGACCAAATCCCTCAACATCACCGGGAGACTCCACACCGCTTACCGGCCCCAAAGTTCAGGGAAAGTAGAGCGAATGAATCGCACCCTCAAGGGAACCTTAGCAAAGTTTTGTCAGGAGACTAACCTCCCATGGCCGGATCTGCTACCCCTAGCCCTCCTGTGTGCTCACTGCATGCCCGGGACATTTGGTTTCTCCCCATTCGAATTAATATATGGATGGCCACCCCCGTGCTTGAGAAGTCTTCCAGGAAACTTGCATCAGGTTGGAGATAAAGGGATAAAGGAGCAGCTTCAGGCCCTGGGGGCCACCCTAAATAAATTACAAAAGTACACCTTTGAGAGGACTCCAATCTCCTTAGGGTCTCAAGTACACTCCTTCCAGACAGGGGATTCAGTTTGGGTCAAAGATTGGAAGAAAGAAGAAAGCTCATCATTCGGACGAGGAGCCACACCAGTGGAGAGTCCAGCCAGACTTCATGAACCCACTCCGGCTTCACCTTCAATGAGACCCCACCGACTGATGGACACCTGCTTACCATGGTCCATGGCTCTCATTGGCATGATTTCCCTCATGTTGGAAGTTGGACTCTACACTGTTGCCCCTCCTGACTGGACTTTCCCCCAGAGGCTTCTACCTAAGGTCATAGATCCCACTTTTACTGGCCCTCTGCTGTCTACTCCTGAGCGCATTTCACCATGGTTTTCCTGGCCCCAGTCAGTCCTGGTCTTCTGCTACCTGGTGTGCTGTTAAGTTTATGATTAAGTCCGTGTTCACCCCAAGCCTTGTAGTCAACCCTCAGAGTCAAACAGAATGATGCCCTCTAAACTAGGTGTTTAAAGGGACATCAAAGGGGGGAATGATAAGGAAAATCTGTGTCCTAAGATGGCCGACCGAGCCAGCGAGAGAGTCCCAGTCCTTGCCCTGGGGCTCTGCCAGGTTCTTCTCCCTGCTCCGCTTCGTGCATGCACCAGACATGCCAAGTATGTGGAAGTAGAAGTGTATAAATTGCCCCCTTTGTGCTAGGAGACCTTTGGAGACCACTCTTCTCTGAGCCCCCCAGTGTTAAATAAACCTCCTATCCTCCAAGATCTCCGGGTGCCGCTTGGTTCTTCCGTCGGGCAATCCAGCCCAGGTTCCGTAACAGGTACCTGCAGCATTCTGCAGACTATTACTCAGGCATCAAGTCCTCTTCTTTCCCCCAGGCTACTCCCAGCTGTGGGGGAGGCCTTTTCTCATCACCACCTTTCATAGTTCTAGGACTGTAAATTCCACAAATCCTTGAGTTTTTCAGGAAGAATCACAGGGCCTGAAACCCAGCCTGCCGCCTACCCACATCCTCACACTCAGCTGCAGACTCCACAGAGGAAGGGCTCCTGACCTGCGCTCAGGAACCACAAGAGCACGGCCAGGTAAGGCTGGGGCAGGGACAGTGTGGCCCACGGTAGGGCTGTGTAGCTTGGGGGTCCGTGACACTGGACCTGCCCACCTTCGCTTTTTAAAATTTTTGTGCTGATGCTTCTTTCTCCCTGGCTCTGTGTGCAGCTGACTTTATTTCTTCTCTGACTCTCCTAACAAAGCTCTTGGGGGCTTTCAGAGCCCTTAGGGCCCCTCAGCTCAGCGCCTCATCTTACCGAGGTGCAGATGGAGCCAGAGTGGGGAACAGACTTGCCCAAATCCCACACCTTCTGTGGACATCTCCCTAGTCTCTCGTTCCTGATTTTCAGTTTCTCACTATTGCATGTCTCTCCCCTAGTCTTTGTTTTCTTTGCTTTTCCCTTTTCTTTTCTCTTTGGTGAAGGCCATACACCTCCAAGATAGGACTAGTTTGAGGGTGTGTCCACTTGGCTTCCCCACCTCCATTTCTGGGCATCTGAACTGCTCAGCATGGTAAGGGGAATCAGAATGGGCAGTGCCAGGCTCAGAGGCCACTCTGAGCTCTCGGGACCTGTGGTCGACTCGGGCCTAGCTGGCCCAGCTGACTACTCCAGAGAAAAGCAGAAGCGGGAATGAAGGCTGAGTGAGTGAGAGCCTGGGCCCTTAGAAGCTGCTGAGTCTCAGGCCCTGGGAAAGTGGGACCATGGGAGACAGATGAGGCCTGATTAGTCTCTCTGCATGCTACCTGAAATAGGCCAGAGCTGCTTTTCCCTACAAGTAGGACAGCTGTCCTGCAAACCACCTCACGGCAAGGTTAGCAAGGAGCAGGACTTGGTAAGAACTGTTGTAGACCACAGAGGGAACAGCCATAGACTTGCTGAGATGGGACCAGCTTCTCAGAGGTGCCATAACTCTGGTCTTCCAGCAGGGGGCAGCCCATCCTGACAAAAAGCAATTCCTCTTTTTCCTGCTGCCCTGCCAGCCAAGGAGACCAATTCCCCTGACACTTGACCGGGTTAATCTGGGCTCACGGCTTGGGGGAAGAGAAGTCCCCCAGGGGCCATAACAGTGTTTAGAATCTGCTGTCCTGTTTAGGGAAGGTAGAACAGTCAGAAGCTGAAACCCCTCATCCCCTCAAATTGAAAGGCTGTAAATATGACCTTGCAGAAAGGAGAGACAGCATGAGAGAGAATGAGCAGAGTGACAGCAGCTAGGACAAAAAGGTGAGGAGGTCTAGGACCTGCAAAGAGTAACTTTGGAAATACAGCATCAGGAGAGACATAAATTTGAAACCAAGGCTGTCTCTCTTAAGGCAGAGCATTTGGTTACCTTCATCATGACATGGATACAGCTTGATATTTTATCTGAAATTTCTCCATAATTCCTGAGCAGCACCCATTTGCTGATCATTATAGATACCGACCCCTAATTCAAGCGAACTGGGTTACATAAGGGTTGGTTGCTAAGGAACAAGGGAGATGCAGTAGGTATGACAAGGGTTGCTTAGTAACGAGGAGTCCCTGGGCGTTGGAGTGGCCAAAGCAGGTCTGGAACTGATGGGGATCTGTGGACAGTCAGTCCCCACCAGAGCCTCCGGAAAATGCATGTCTGCTGGCCCCTCAGTCCAGAGCTACCAGAGCCTGCATCTCTTCAGCTTCGCGGCACTATCCTGCATGAAAAGTACATCCCAAGTCCCTGAGTGCCCTTGCTGCAACCATTCCTTCCCACCTGCCTCTGCAGGAAACAGATCAGACTCCTAGATTCAGGACCCTGCAGGGAAACTCCCACTGCGGGAGGCAGAAGCCTCTGGGCTCACGGTGATGTGGAGCTGGGAAATTTGGGGTCTAGATGAAAGAGGGTCCCCTACACAAGCATCTCTGATGTGTTTCCAGTTCATCGGAAAGTGTGTGCATATCTGAGTCTCCCACACAGGGTCCTCACCCTGCGCACACCTACAGCAGCCTATGCCTTTCCTTCCAGAGGGTGTCCGGAGGGCCTGGGTCTGCACCCTGGCTCAGGCTCCTCCCAGCCTCCACTCAGTGAGCTTCACTTCAGCACAGCCTGGCAAGGACAGCATGCAGGCATTCAGAACCTGGGTCTGCTCTCTGACGTGTTGCAAGCGCTCAGTGCTTGCTCAGGGGATGAATGTGAAACTCATCCTGTCTACTGAATGGTGGGTCTCACATTACAATTTGCCTCTTCCATAAATAGAGAATTTTCATAGAGAGTTTTCCTGACCCGAGGCTCAGGTGTTTAAAATTCACCCTGACCAGCTCTACTCGCTCTGGCTCTCGGCTGCTGGCCTTGTCTGTCTGCAGGAGCAGAGGTAGATTACCATCGTTACTATGGCATCCGTCATGGGTGAAGTTGATTTTTTCCTCCAGGGCCAAGTTCAGCAGGAAGCAGAAAAAGGCACTGGCAGGCATATTCCAGGCAGTGACCTCGGCCCACAGGCACCTGTTGCATTCCCGTGCTGGGCTCTCTTTGCACCTGAGCAGCACTGGGATAGACCAAAAGTGTGTCCTGGCCAATCCGGAAGCGGTGGTCATCGGGTCCACTGAGGGGTAAATGCCCTGATTGCCCTATGGGTCTTGACCCCTCCCCAGGACTCTTGCTTCCACAGAGACCTGGGGCTCCTAGATCAAGACACAGCCTTGTTGATTTCCAGGGCTGGGTCGAGGGACAGTGGTGGCAGAGGGCTGAGGCTGTCTTGTTCCCTCCATCTCTGCTGCAGGATTGGCTTCGCCATGGCGCGGCGCCTGGCCCAGGACGGGGCCCACGTGGTCATCAGCAGCCAGAAGCAGCAGAACATGGACCGGGCAGTGGCCGCGCTGCAGGGGGAGGGGCTGAGCGTGGCGGGCACCATGTGCCACGTGAGGAAGGCCAAGGACCAGGAGCGGCTGGTGGCCACGGTGAGGGGCCACAGGGGTGGAAGGGCGCAGGGAGGAGAATGTGTAGGGCCTTTCCCATGCTGCTCAGCCCTGGGTGGGACCGGGACCGGGATAGGGGCTGGGAGGCCCTAGAACACGTCTCGAAACCAGGATTGCTCAAGGTCTACCTGGGCAGACGTCATTGTCCACACTGGCTTTCTGGAAAGTGGCTTGTTCATGAGAGGACCCTCGCTTCCATCCTACACCCTGGAGAACTGTGGTTGAGGAGGAATCTAGAGGGATTCCCCATCCAAGTCCACGGACGAATTCCTAGAGGAGACAGACCCTCCTCCCCTGAGGCCCTCAGCGCGGCAAAGCCTGTCCTTGGGCCTGTCCCGCGCTCCTGCCTTCACCGGAGTTTGGTTCTCACACCAGCTGTGTGACCATTCCTGGTTGAGACAGGAGCTGATTTGCAAGCTCTGCCTTAATGCGCTGTGCACCTGACAGCCGCTCTGGGAGGGCGAGGCCTCCTCGGGCCATCTCCACACTTAGGGCCCTGCGTGTCACCCTTCCACCCAGGTCCTGGAGCACTATGGGGGCCTGGACTTTTTGGTGTGCAATGCAGGTGTCAACCCCCTGGTGGGAAGCACCCTGAAGGCCAGTGAGGAGGTATGGGACAAGGTGAGAGGCCACTGAGGGGAGCTGGCTGAGGGGTCTAAGGTGTTCTCCCATTGAGACTCGACTCCCCCCACCCAAAGCGGCTGTAAAAACAGGCACTGACCACGCCTCCCCTGGAATGTGCCGTGATGCTACTTTCCAATTTGTATGCTTCAAAGCGGGTTCCTACATTCTTTCTGCTTTCTTTTCTCTTCCTGTCCCTTTTGCATTTATTCATTCAGCAAATATTTATTGAGCGTTTGCTATGTGCCAGGCACTGTTCCAGGCTCTGGGGATACAGCTGTGGGAGTAGGTCTCTGCTCTTGGTGAGAGTCAAGAATAGTGAGGGTTCTGCTCTTTGTCAACAGTAGACATATTTTACATCCTTTGGTGATGTTGCTCCTCTTTGGGGACACGTACCTGCTGCTGAGATTCTTTACGCTTCCAAGAGGAGGGTTCCTCACTGTCCCTCAGAGGAACCTGATACACCTGTCAGGCCTGGACCCAGCCATCAGCTTTCCATGACATTCCAACCCACTGCATTCGGCTTAATGATCCTGCCACCTGGTCCACGGGGTCCTGAAGGGACCTTGTAAAATGTCTTGAGGTCCACCTCGGGCTTTGTTATTCTAGGATTTATGTTATGTTTTTATTTATTTTATGTATTTATATTTATATTTATATTATTTATTTATATTTTTAATATTTTGTATTTTCTATGATTTATATTATGTTATGATCTTATGTTATTCTGTGTTTTCTATTCTATGACTCCTGTGTTTGGTTCCTGAGTCCCTCTGACAGACAAGATGGACTGCAGTGAAATCATCTTCCTGCTGTCGATAGCCTCCCCCTCCACCCCAAGCACTGGCCAGAGCATTTCCTTCTGCCTTCCCCAGGCCTCTGCGCCGTGTAGACTGTGTTCTCAGGCCGCCGCCTCCTGTGTATCTGCCTGGCTGGATGCCCTTCCCTCCATCCTCAGAGATGACCTGAAATCTGAGCTCCCTGCAGCCGCTGCCAGCAGCCTCCCCCAGCTCCTTGGCTTCCTTAATGCCTCCGAAAGATCATTTGTGATTAGGTAGCTGGGATTTCATTGCTGACAGTGCCCTAACCCTCCTGAGTCATTTTCCCTTTTAGTGTCTTAGTTCATGGGATCATGACTCTTTTACTTGGAACACGTTTGAAATCTTCCCCTCCCAAAGCTGAGCGCACTCCCCCACAGCCCGGCCTTACTTTCTCCATGGCCACCCTATTCTCTGAGGTCTTACTGGTCCACAAGCAGTCTGCACTACTGGGTAGGAGTCGTCCCCGATCACATCTGCCACCACCTCACAAGTCTGAAATTGACTTGATGCTCCGCTTTCTCTGAATGCAGTTTTCAGGAGGTCTCCTGGGAGTTAGTTCCTTCTTGCTCACATTAGCACTGGGCCAGTTTAAGCACCTCTCCAGGTAGACCCCCATTTCTCCAGCTGGTTGGGAAATCTCCCATCTCCTCTTCCACCACTTTTCCTCCATCCTCCTCCTGCCTGAGGACTCCCCAGCATCCAACCTCCTCAGGGCACGATCTCTACTCAGGACTTTGTGGCACCCAGAGCTACTCTACCTGCTTTTCTAATAGGGCAGTCCTCTTAAGCGAGGGAGGGACTCACCTTTTCCTTGGTTCATGTTTGGCTGCTGAGTCTAGGAGGGGCCTTGTCGGAGCCCATCCCCCAGCCTGACACACATGGAGCTTAGAGCAGACATTGGTGGGATGGTGGGGCTCTATTTTGAGCAGAAAATGACCAGGAAGTCCCTTAGTCTAACCCTCAGTTCCTTCTTATTGGGGACCTCATGCCGGGCCCCCCTTTGGACAATCTGAGCCATTTCTTACAGTCCTGGGGGTCATCCCCAACACTGGCAACCTTTCATCATGTGGGCCTCAGCAGCTCTCCATCGAAGCCTTTCCCCTGCCCTCATCCAAGAGGATGGTTGGGTGCGGGATGAAGATGTTGCACATGTACAGTCTCATTCCCTAGAGACCGAGGACACACTGACCTCACTCAAGATGGTGCCCCACAGGAGGGATCCTGGTGCCACTTTAGTCCCAGCGGGCTCTCTGTCCTAGCCCTCAGCTCAGTCTCTGCCTCTTTTCCTGCCAGTTCCTCTCTTACTTTTCCTCCATCCCCAGTCCCACCAGACGGATTCCCAGACAGCAGGTCAGGGACCCTCATGTCTGAGGCCAGATCCAGGTTTTAGTTGCAGGCAGGACCAACGTGGGCAGCTCACTCCCAGGATGGCAGTTCTCTGTGGTGTCTCCCTCTTTGTGATGGCCGTAGGAAAGCTCAAGAGCCACGTCTGCAGGAACAGGCATGCATGTAGGCCCTCATAGCTGGCGTTTTTGTGAATGAATAATAGAATAATGCTCAGTCCTTACCACATGCTGTGAACTGTGGGCACCAACTTTCCCCTTGCTTTTTCTTATCTTTCTACACTTATTTTTCCTGTTCTCCATTTCTTCACACATAATACCTGTTGAATTTTTTTATGCTGTTGTACCATGAGAATGCCTTAAATTCTATTGGGACAAGACAAGGACACAAACAAGTCAAAACACAGACAAAGACAACTCTTCCAGAAATCTCCTTGCCTCCCAGCACCTCCTTTCCCCTCCATCTATTCTACTTTCGGTCTTTTTCCAGGGGCCTCTGCTTAGAGCTTCTGTCTGCATGACCAGCACATGGTCCATTTTTCTTGAAAAGGCCTGAACATTTCCCTCCTTCACCCCAGTCTGGAATAGTTCACGTTTTCAGGGCTCTGCTCACAGACCTGTCACTTAGCCTGGCTGCCTGTTAAACCATTAGCAAGTGGGAAACTCCTCTTGTCCTGATCAGAAGGGAAATGAATCTCAGACCTGCAGGCATGTGGGTTTGCTGCACAAATGATCGGACTCCAAGTGTCTTATGGTAACAGGCCCTGGGCTGAGGGCTGACCATGTCTCTCTGCCCTCCCTCCTGCCTCTGCTCTGATATCAGAATTTTCACATTCTGAACGTGAATGTGAAGTCCCCGGCCCTGCTGCTGAGCCAGCTGCTGCCCCACATGGAGAACGGGGGTAGGTTGCAGCGTGGGGGTAGGGACTGGTGGGGAGCCACCCGAGAATGGAGTCTGGAGAACACAGGGGCCCAGCTGGGGTCTCCCCCTCCCACTCCCTCTGTCCTGCCTCACCCTTTGTATAGCCACAGCTTCTGAATCCTGACTGCAGGATGACGGTGATGTTCCTGGGGCTCAGGTGTGCTCTCATTGGCCTTGACATCAGCTCCTTAGCCTCGTGGGCAGGTCATTCTCACCCTCCTCTACTCCGGTTCTCTCACCGCCGGACAATGCCTTTTCACCAGTTTACAATGTGTGACAGGGTCTGCCCCATTCCTCCCTGTGGGGAGAAGCCCATCCCAGGCCCCTCCTCCCTCCCTGCTTCTCAGCCTCCAGGGAGCCTGCCTGGTGTTCCAGATCCTGCATATTTGACTGCACTCCATACTTAGCCTCAGGGCTCTCATGTCAGGGACTTAGGCCACCACGTTCCTCAGGCCATAGCTGCTCCTCAGGCTCCTCCGTGCAGGCGTCCCCTTTAGGAACTGGCCCAGGAGTGGGTGGGTTAGAAGAAAAAGTTACTGACTCTCATTTCTTGTCTCCTCCTGTCCCATCTGCTTCTCAGAGGTGGCCCACTGATACGCATTCACTGTCAGCGCTGGGGGCCTCCTCACCAAGCCCACTCTGCCCCCTTCCCCAAGCAGCTGGCTTTCTGCTCCTCGCTTCCCCCAGGAGAGGCAGCGAGTGTCATGGTTTGGAGCGTGGGCATAGGGTCAGAGAGATGGGGTTGGAGTCCCAGGTCCACCACTCCTGGCTCTGCGGCTAAACCCTGCTGAGCCTCTGTTCGCTCAGCTCTGAAAGGGGGCTACTAACGGGAGCCATGCTGCTGCCGTGAGGATTGCGTTATTCCATGACTAGCGTCATTACAGTGGTATCATTCTGATTTCTGTATCTTTTTAAAATAATAGTAGCACCTCAATCCATGGTAAGTGGTTGGTTTCCTGTCTCCTCTTGTGTCTGTCTCCTCTCAGGACAGGGGCGGTCGTCCTGGTTTCCTCCATTGCAGCCTGTATACCACATGTGGTGAGTGCTTGCTCGGGTGCTCCTGGTAGGATTAGAGGAAGGGGTCCCCAGAACGCCACAGGGACAATGCCTGGGACAGACCCCCACCTCACTCCCGCTGCCCTAGGTTGAGCTGATGCCCTGTGGCCGCTGGGTGCCTCAGATCCAGCTTCTGCTCTCAGACCAGGCTGGGGAGAGTGTGTCTGAGCTCTGCGCTTGGGCCAGGGCTGGGATTATCTGTAGCTGAGAAATCCAACTGATACTTTCCTCTGCTTCCTCAGATCCGTTTATTTTTTTTAAAGATTTATTTATTTGAGAGGGAAAGGGGTGCCTGGGTGGCTCAGTCGTTAAGCGTGTGCCTTTGGCTCAGGTCATGATCCCAGGGTCCTGGGATCGAGCCCCATGTCGGGCTCCCTGCTCCGCGGGAAGCCTGCTTCTCCCTCTCCCACTCCCCCTGCTTGTGTTCCCTCTCTCGCTGTGTCTCTCTCTGTCAAATAAATAAATAAAATCTTCAAAAAAAAAAAAAAGAAGGAGAGGGAAAGATTCCCAAGCAGAATCCCTGCTGAGCGCCAAGCCATGGATGATGCGGGCTCAATGGTGGGGCTCCATCTCATGACCCTGCGGCCATGACCTGAGCAGAAATCAAGAGTCAAATGCTTAACTGACTGAGCCACCCAGGCGCCCCTGCTTTCCCATATCCTAATCATTGTCTTGATTCCCTTCCCAGAAACTGGGTCCCTATAATGTCAGTAAGACGGCCATGCGGGCCTCACCAGGACGCTGTCATGGGAGCTGGCCCCCAAGGACATCCGGGTGAACTGCCTAGTTCCAGCAGTAATCGAGACCAACTTCAGCCAAGTGGTGAGGACCAGGGCGTATCCCCCATTTCCCAGCCCGGCTCAGTGGAAACCTCCCCAGTGACTAAGGGATAAGCCTCAGATTAGCGTCCCTAACAGCTGAGGTCCTCGTTGTCCTTTGAATTCAGCCATGACTCAGCCCATCACCCCTGAGAAAGGCAAATCTGCCATGAGTGCTCTGTCACAGGATCATCTGGGGCCCTGCCCATCTCCTTGTTTTAGCAGCCCTGACTCTCTCACATCTTCCCTTTGCCCAGTTACACAAGGATGAGGTTTTCTGGAACAATTTCAAGAAAGAGCACCAGCTGCAGAAGCAAGTGGGGTGTGGAGGCTTGGTAATCTGGGTACAGCTGGGGATGGGTGGCTGGGCTGGTCTGTCTCACGGGGCGACCCCTCCCTGTGTACTGGCCATTCCTTTAGCTGAAGTCTGGATTCCAGAGCCCTGCAGGGTGCAAGTGGCCCGGCTGAATCCGCCCTGTCCCTCCTTGGAGTCCACTCCCACCGGAGCAGCAGAGCCTGAGATCCCTGACATGTGTTCTGTCCTGTGCAGGTTAGGGAAGCCTGAGGACTGTGCCGGGATTGTGTCCTTCCTGTGCTCTCCGGATGCCGGCTACATCACCGGCGAGAACATTGTGGTGGCCGGCTTCTCCCCTCGGCTCTGAAGGGGCTGAGGGGGCCCTGAGCTCTGGGTCTGGGCTTAGGAGCCTGGGGACGGGTGGGCTGGGAGATCATTAAGGTCAGGGGGGTAAAGTCTGAAGCTCTGCCAGACAAGCAATCTAGGGGCTTGTTCATGCCAGGCTTGAGGCAGGACCCCCCCCCCCCCCCCCCGTGTTCTCATCTGTTGATTCTGCTGTTGATTCAGCTGCTGTGATCCAACCAACATGTGAGTTCTTGATGTGGGGCTGTGGAGCCGACTGAGTTCATGGGGCTGGCACTTTGGAGGAACCATAAAGGACAGGAGCAGACTCAGGCCCATGAAGGATCCGGCTCCTTCTCTCTGCCACTTGTACTCTAAACATTTCTTTCCTAAAATAAACCCCAATTTCTCCTCAAGCCTGGAAACTCCTGGTAAGGGGAGAGCCAAGGGGAATGAGGCTGAAGACAGGCCTCTCCTGTCTCCTGCCTGCTGCTGCCCTGAGCCCATTCATGGACCCATGGTGGTGGCCTGTGGGTGTTCAGAAGGCTCTGCTCCATTCTCTGAGTGGGCTGTGGAGGCTAAGCAAGGTGGGAGGGGGGTGGGAGGATTCTGGGATTTCCCCCTGGGGTTCTGTGGGTTAGTGGTTCTTCATGTTTTCTGGGCCACACCCTTTGAGTCCCTGACGAAAAAGCCCTCCCCCACCCCCGCCCAATCTTGCAACTTCTAATTCATACAATAGAGAGAAGTCAGTGTGAAGTTCTCCTTAAGGTTGTCTCCTCTTGGTAAAGGCCCTTTCTATTGTCCTGAGGCATGTTTGAGGGCGCAGTCCCTGGCCCAGCTTTTTCTTATTTATTTTCCAGACCACTCTGGTAGTGGGTCCCTCATCCTGCTGAACATCTCTGGCTGTGTCTGCCCAGGCCTCCCTGTGGGGGCTGGACTCATGGGTGGGAGGGCAGCTTGAGGGTCGTGGTGCTGCGCTGGAGGAGAAGGGGTCGTCCCAGAGTGGCCGGAGGCAGTGTAGTGGGCTGGAGGTTCTGTGGAGGCTGGGATCTGTGCAGGTGAGGTGAGCACCAACATGGCTGAATGCCCAGGGCTATGCTTGGCACATCTGACTCTACCATGAAGCTCTCGCACCACATTTTACCAAGATGAACTGCCTTCCATCTAAAGCAAATGGTTCCCTTGGCAATTGAACAGCAGGGGAAACATTAGCTGAATACCAGGATAAATGAAAGACTGGGAATCGAATGGAAATGGAGGAAAAGAGCGATCAGGAGATGACAGCCACAGGTGCCCTTGGGCTTCCTCACCTGTGGGGCTGGGACACTGTGTGGGGGGCTGAAGTTGCTGGTCTGGGCTGTTGTGTGCCCTGGGTGACTGGATTCAAGTTTAGAGTTTCTGTCCCTTTAGCCCTTGAAGGCCAAAAGACGCTGTCCTCCATGGGAGGGTCCCCATGAATCCCAGTGGGTAAAATGACTTCCTTTGCTGATCATTTTTTTAAAAATAACATGTTAAAAAAAATTTTTTTTTAAGATTTCACTTATTTATTTGACAGGGAGAGAGAGCACAAACACAAGGTGGGGGAGCAGCAGGCAGAAGGAGAGGGAGAAGCAGGCTCCCCGCTGACCAAGGAGCCCGATGTGGGACTTGATCCCGGGACCCTGGGATCATTATGACCTGAGCTGAAGGCAGACGCTTAACCGACTGAGCCACTCAGGCAGCCCCTTTTGCTGATCATTTTAACGAGGACCTTTGATGTTTCCTAATTGCTGCCTGCTCCAGAGAATGTAATTTGTGTAGATACGTGCAGCTTGTGTAGATATGTATAGGAAGGTAATGCTGAGCTTTGAATCCAAGTCTGTCGGCCACTTGCCATGACAAAGTGATGGCCAGGGCTCTGTCAGCTTGATTCTCTCCGGCATGTCTGTCTTACTTTGGTTTCTCTTGTAAGTAGAGCCTAAGACAAGAGCTTTCAGACAGGAGATCTGAGGGAGCAGGAGTGAGGGGGTGAGCAGGAAAGGAACGGTTGGTTAGGGAGGGTGCCACTGCATACCACAGCTCCCCGAATCTCCCAAGGAGAGCACAGAGCGTCTCTCAGGCATGCGTGTCCCCCCTAAAGATGGCAGGTGGAGCGTTTATCCGTGCCCTCTCATCTCCCAGCCACCAAGGGCTGCCCCTGGGGATTATTAACTGCCCCACACTTCCAGTCAAAGAGGAAGAAGCCATCCAAAGTGCAGTGAGTCAGACCCATCAGAAATGACCCACCCCCCAACCACATCAGAAGTCCGTCAGATGACGGCAAGGGGTGTGAGTCAGGGCACCCAAAGTGTCCCATACAAGGTCTCTAGGACCATCCAAGGTCTCATATTTGCTTAAGGGACAAAACTCTCAACCCATTGCTCCTGTGAGGCCCCAGAGAGAAACACAAATCTCTCCTCTTCCCCAAATAACAATTAATCCACTTGTCCCAAGGGACGGCCTTCAGAAATTTTCACTGGAGGCTTTCAAGCTGACATATCTCAAATCTCCAGTTACTGGTTTGAGTGGTTCATGTGGCTGTCCCACAGCGTTTCCAGAAGATCAAAGAGATAGGGAGGCAGGAAAGGAAGATCAGAGAGGAAACTCTTGATAAACTAATCACACACCAAAAGAGCTGTGGCCTCTCAACAACTTAATGTTCTACTTGTTAAAAAATGAAAATTTAAAATGCAACACTCAATGCCATTAAATTTACATATTAACTTTAAAACTCCCCTTACTTCTCTGTAAAAATCAGGACGGTTTTAGAATATGAGGTCCTGGGAGGGAAGGAATCCAGGGCCTCCTTTTGTCCCATTTCTCGTGACCCAGCTTCTGGAGACAACTAACAAAAGATGCTGGTGTAAGGATGGGTCCTTGGTGACCTGAAGCACTGCAGGTGTGGGAATGAGACGTGGGGCTTTGGAGTTTATTGAATGGATACCTCAGCAGCCAGCCCAACTGGAACACCAGGCATTTGGGGGTCTTGAATGTCCTGGGTCAGATTTTACCAAGAAGATGATTATCTTCCATCCAAAGCAAATGGCCCCCTTGGCCAATTTAAACAGCTTACAGACAACACTGTTAGCCCACATCTGGAGAATTTCTTTCAACAGGCAGAAGGAGGGAGTATGGGATGCCAAGCAAAAGAAACCATCACCCCCACCGCCTAACTTTGAAACAGACCCCAGCAGCCCACATCAGATGGAGCCATTTCCAGAATTCTCTTCTACCTCCTTTCTTCTTTTCACTGTCCTCCTGAAGTTTATCAGCTAATTCCATGTCAAATCTTTCAGGGAGGCTCAGTGCCCCTCCTGTCTTGCTTCATTTGCTGGGGGTTAAGAACTGATGCCGGTGTGGGGAGGTGTAGCCCTCCGAGTGTCCATAAGATCTTAACCCACTTGCTTGTCATGGAGGCTGTTTCTCTGGCCAGATCTGCTGGCTTGTCTCCAGTGCACCTGGTCTCTTGCCTTTACCAGAAGAGGTTGAAATCAGCTCATCACCTGCCTTGGGAGGAGTTATGCCTCAGAATCAACGAAAAGATCATACAAAAGATCTGGTTTACTCCCACCTTCTCTCTCTCCTGCCATTTTACAGATGAGGCAACTGAAGGCCATGGAGGGGAAGGGGCTTGATCATGAGGTGGGCTGGTAGGAGACGTGGTCCAGAAACTAGGTCCCCTGACCCTCAGTCTGAGCTTGTCATGAGAAAGTCCTGTGCCAGGTTCATTTGGCCCATGACCCGCCACCCTCATGATCCCCTAAGAAGTTCTCTTTTCCAGGGCAGGAGCTTCTGGATGTGAACAGGGCATGCTGTGGATTGAAAGTCTGTGTACCCCAAAAATTCATATATTGAAACCCAAATCCCGAATAGGATGGCCTTTGGAGATGGGACCTTTGTAATTTGGTTTTGATGAGGACATGAGAGTGGGGCCTTCATGATGGAATGAGTGCTCTTAGAAAAGCGTCATGACATCTCTCTCTCTCCACCATGTGAGGATACAGTGAGAAAAATGGCCATCCTCACAGACCAGGAAAAATACTCTCACCACAACCTGACTAGGCTGGCCCCCTGATCTCAGATTCTGAGCCTCCAAAACTGTGAGAAATACAGTTTGGTTTGAGTGGTTCATGTGACTGTCCCGCAGGGTTCCCAGAAGACTGAAGAGATAGGAAGGCAGGAAAGGAAGATCAGAGAGGAAACTCTTAAACTAATCACACACCAAAAGAGCTGCGGCCCTCAACAACTGAATGTTCTACTTGTTAGAAAGTACCCAGTCTATGTTACTTTGTTATAGCAGCCCAAGCTGACCGCATCTGTGGAGCTGACCAACCTCTGCCCACGTGACCTCACTATGGTGGCGATGGGTCAGAGAGCCTGACCATCTATGCCAGCCCCCGGTGGCCCCATCCTCAGGGACCTGCCCCAGCTCAAGGGTTAGAATATATTGTATTAAAGCTTTCTGGTATCTCACAAAAACCGATCGTTACTTAGTGCTGAATCCATATTTTTAAAAAAATTAGCTCAATTTTTATACTACTCAGGCAGTAGAGTAAAAACAACTAATTGAATTGGTATCTGTACCCTTTAGTCTGAAAAGTGCCGAGAAAGAGAGGAGCAGCCCCTGGCCGCCTGGAGCCGTCCTGGCACGATCAGCTAGCTGGC